TATGGAGGAATAAATCTCCAAGACAAACACTTGGAGAACATCTGAATAAAGTGCCTTGAAAACACCCGCTCTGAGACACTCTGTTGAGGGGGGGGGGGAGGGTGGGGGAAGTGGGGAGGGGAAAGGGGGTGATGGGGAGGAGGAGGAGGGGAGGAGTAGAGGGAAGGAGGGAGGTAATGGGAAGTAGGATGGGGTGGGTGAAATCTAGGGTAAGGTGGGTGGGGGGAGGTTCTTGTCTCTTTGTGGTTTTTTATTTCTCTCTCTCTCTCTCTTCTCTCTCTTCTCTCTCTCACACTGTTATTGGTGAACATTTTAGATAGAGGGAGGAGGGAGGGAGAGAGGAGGCGGGCTTGGCGGTGTCGTCCAATTTCTGGCTGTAATGGACACCAATTTGTCCCAATTTGACAGAGGTGTCATGGGATTAACTGTACTCTGACTGTACCTCAGAGGGGAGTGTGCCTCAGTCATAAAGGGAGACTGTGGAATGACTGTAGCTATAACTGTATGACTGGGGAATGACTGTAGCTATAACTGTATGACTGGGGAATGACTGTAGCTATAACTGTATGACTGGGGAATGACTGTAGCTATCACTGTATGACTGGGGAATGACTGTAGCTATCACTGTATGACTGGGGGAATGACTGTAGCTATCACTGTATGACTGGGAATGACTGTAGCTCACTGTATGACTGGGGAATGACTGTAGCTATAACTGTATGACTGGGGAATGACTGTAGCTATAACTGTATGACTGGGGAATGACTGTAGCTATAACTGTATGACTGGGGAATGACTGTAGCTATAACTGTATGACTGGGGAATGACTGTAGCTATAACTGTATGACTGGGGAATGACTGTAGCTATCACTGTATGACTGTAGGGTGACTATAGTCTTACTTGAACTGTATTTTGTAATTTGCTTTTTAAATTCGTCTTTGTGTAATTGGTGACAGACATACAGACAGACAGACAGAAAGAAAGACAGACAGACAGACAGACAGACAGACAGGCAGAAGAGACAGGCAGACAGACAGACAGACAGACAGACAAGAAACAGGAAGAGGTAATGACTCCAAGATCTTACCTACCTTGTCAGTTATCTACCAAGGGACAGAGGTATCGACGAACACACGAACGGACACGGCAATAAACATTAATACACTGCGTCACCCATCAATAAACATTAATACACTGCGTCACCCATCAATAAACATTATTACATTGCGTCACCCATCAATAAACATTAATACACTGCGTCACCATCAATAAACATATACACTGTGTCACATCAATAAACATTATTACTTGCGTACCCATCAATAAACATTAATACACTGCGTCACCCATCAATAAACATTAATATATTGCGTCACCCATCAATAAACATTAATGCATTGCGTCACCATCAATAAACATTAATACACTGCGTCACCCATCAATAAACATAAATACACTGCGTCACCCATCAATAAACATTAACACCGTCACCCATCAATAAACATTAATACATTGCGTCACCCATCAATAAACATTAATACATTGCGTCACCCATCAATAAACATTAATACACTGCGTCACCCATCAATAAACATTAATACACTGCGGCACCATCAATAAACATTAATACACTGCGTCACCCATCAATAAACATTAACACTGCGTCACCCATCAATAAACATTAATACATTGCGTCACCCATCAATAAACATTAATACACTGCGTCACCCATCAATAAACATTAATACACTGCGTCACCCATCAATAAACATTAATACACTGCGTCACCCATCAATAAACATTAATACATTGCGTCACCCATCAATAAACATTAATACACTGCGTCACCCATCAATAAACATTAATACACTGCGTCACCCATCAATAAACATCGCCTTTAACACTTCACCCCGTCAATAAATATAACTCACAACATCCCTCCTCCCCCGTAAACATTACCCCCCTCCACATAATCATCATCACTTATTTTCCCCTCTCTCCTCCTCCTTCTCCTCCTTGTTGACGGAGGGGGAGGAGGGGGAATCAGGACTGCTGCTGTGATCCCTTCTCACATAGGCCTCAGTCAACAGGATCCAGTTGCTGCCTCAGTCAAAACTCCCGTATAACAAACACACTGTTGAGTACAATCACGGACTAGCAAACAAAACTGTCATCAATAAGGGATTAGTTGGAAGCAAACAAGTACAAACAGGTACGAATTAAGCCGTTGTTTACCATTGTTTACCATGATGAGATGTATCAAGTTAATCCATTGTTTACCATGATGAGATGTATCAAGTGAGACGTTGTTTACCATGATGAGATGTATCAAGTGAGACGTTGTTTACCATGATGAGATGTATCAAGTGAGACGTGTATATGGAGCAAGTAACAAGATCACTAGATTACAAGATGTTATAACCGCTAGATTAAGGTTAGGATATTAAGCAGATGTGAACAAAACACACAATCCAACATTACGTTTTAGTGTGAAAGTATCTACCTTCTTATAGACAAGTCCAAACATATTATGTATTCAATGGCACAGCACTTAATCTCTGAGGGAAAGATGGCTGCTATATTATAAATTGTTTCTACATTTCGCACCAAAAAGCTAAATCCTATATAGAGAACTAAACAATATACTGTACTGGAAATACTGTGTAACATTCAGTAGTACAATATCCTGACTACTGTTACACACACTCTTTGTGGCTTCTGCTCTGTAATCCACTTGCCACTCCACTCGCAGGATAAGTGTGTGCACAATGAACTAGCTGCTGATCACGACAAAATTCACAATATAATTCTACCATCCATCCCCCATCAACTCTACCACCCAACCAGTCAATTTTTACTTCCCCCCCCCACATCAACTCCCACGCTCCCACGCCCACCACATCAACTCCCACGCCCCCACGCCCACCACGTCAACTGTCACTACCAACAGACTGCGGGTCCCTCACTTCTTACGGGTTTCAGAACGTCACATGTGTCAGGAGGAAGATGATGTCAACACAGAGAGGGAGGAAGGAAAGGAGGGGAGGAAGGAGGAAGAGAGGAAAGGAAGGAAGAATGAAGGAAGAGAGGAAAGGAGGGAAGGAAGGAGGAAGAGAGGAAAGGAGGGAAGAATGGAGGCTGGGTGGGATGGAGGAAGGGTGGAATGATGGGAAGGAGAGAGGGAAGAAAAGGGAGAAAGTAGGAGAGATAAAAAAGAGAAAGGGAGGGAGGGAGAAAGGAAGGAGAGTGAGAGATAGGGGTGGAGACGGAAGGAACGGAGAGAGGGGCTAAGGGGAGGATAGACAGACAGACAGACAGACAGAGAGACAGACAGAGACACACTCTGTCCCACCTTGTAATCATGATAATGGTGGAGAGAGTGTGGGAGAGGAGGGGGAAGGGAGGGAGGGTGGAAGGGAGAGGAAATTACGAAGGCAGAGTGAGAGACAGACACAGACAGACACAGACAGACACAGACAGATACACACACACCGGATATTAACCAAACTCTACATCCAAGGGGGGGGGAGGGGAGGAGATTCGACCCCATGACCATTGTAGTAATAGCTTAGTGCGATAACCACTCCTCCACGGCACCCATGATGATGTTAGGTTAGGTTCGGTTAGGTGATCTCTCTACTGGACCATAATTCTCAAAAGCTCGTAAGCAAAATTCCTCCTAACTAGCTATATAAAACCCAACCTAACCCAACCTAACCCAACCTAACCCAACCCAACCTAACCTAACCCAACTCAACCTAACCCAACCTAACCCAACCCAACCTAACCCAACCTAACCCAACCCAACTCAATCCCAACCCAACCCAACCCAACCTAACCCAACCTAACCCAACCCAACCCAACTCAACCCAACCAAACCTAACCCAACCCAACCAAACCAACCCAACCCAACCCAACCTAACCCAACCTAACTCAACCCAACCCAACTCCAACCCAACTCAACTCCAACCCAACCTAACTCAACTCAACCAACCTAACCCAATCCAACCTAACCCAACCCAACTCAACCTAACCCAACCCAACTCAACCTAACCCAACTAAACCCAACCTAACCCAACCCAACCTAACCTAACCCAACCTAACTCACCTAACCCAACCTGGGTTCCAACCTAACCCAACCTGTTCCAACTCTAACCCAACCCAACCTAACCTAACCCAACCTAACCTAACCTAAGACACATGGACAAATCCTCAAAAGTTGGTTAAGTTACTGTGTGGAGGTAAGCGGTGAGGAGAGGCCCGTTAACTGCCTCACACTTCAGCTGAGAGACTACCTCGCTGTTACCTCCTGCTGGGACACTGATGCTGGGTGCTGAGACATTGATGCTGGGTGCTGGGACTTGGATAACACTCCCTAGGCTTTAATGATACTGTGGTTAATTGTGGTGGTGGTGTGGTAATGGTATGGTGTGGTAGGGGGTCATGGAGTGGGGTGTGTAGGAGTGTGGTGAGGTGTGGTGGATTGTGGTAGGGTATGTGTGGTAGGGGGTGTGGTAGGGGGGTCATGGGGTGTGGTGTGTAAGGGGGGGGTGTGGTCAGTATACATTCCGGTAATACATCAACAGCTCCAGATAACTCCCCTACCCTCCCCCCAACCCTCTTAAGTACTGACCCCTCCCCTCCTCCTCCGTCCGGGAACGATGACCCCACGACTAATTAAGACTGAGAGTGATACACACACACACACACACACACACACACACCCCCTCCCCACCTCACACATATCACCCTTCCCTCTTCCCCTCCTAACCCCCCCACAAACCCTCCCCTAACTCTATCCCTCTCTCTTAATATTCACCCTCACCTCCGTCTGCATCTCCCCTACACCCCTACCCACCCCAACACCCAAACCCCTCCCCACCCACCTCCCACCCCTACAGTCAGAGGCGCGGACTGCACTATGTAATTAAGTGAACAACTTGTTCCATTGATCACCCAGGCGTGTGGTGCTGCTGTTAACTGTGTCCCGCGCCCTCACCTGACCCTAGCTTGCCATTAATATTAAGAGTTGTCATAAAACTCACCTGGTTGCCATAGTTATAAAAAGAGTTGCCATAACTCTCCCGGTTGCCATAGATACAAAGAGTTCCCATAAATATAATGGAATTGCCATAAAACTCACCTGGTTGCCATAGATAAAAATAGTTGCCATAAAACTCACCTGGTTGCCATAGAGACAAAGGGTTGCCATAAATACAAAGAGTTGCCATAATAAAAAAGAGTTGCCATAAGACTCACCTGGTTGCCATAATAAAAAAGAGTTGCCATAAGACTCACCTGGTTGCCATAGCCGTTGGTGTAGATCTTGAAGTCAGGTAGCCCCGGCCTCCAGTACTCCAGCCTGTACGCCTCCGTGTACTCCAGCCCTTTGCCATTGCCGAAACGCCCTTGAGTACCCGTGGCAGTGACCAGGTGTATCCCCCCGAGGTCCACCTCCAGGTACTCCCTCGACTGGGCGTTGAGCTGACCCTTAGGGCACCACGCGCCTCCCTTCTTCTCCACCCGTACCCTGAGAGAGAGGGAGAGAGAAAGGGTGAGTTTTATTTGTGTGTGAAAGGGAGGGGAAAGGGAGGGTAAGGGAGAAGGGGTGGGAGAGGAGGAAGAAAAGGGAAGGGAAACAGGAGGAAGAAGGGGGAGAGGAAATATATAGACAGGAAGAAACTGAAAGACAGACAGATACACCGATTGAAATATGTACAAAGGCAGAGGGAAAGTGACAGACAAAAAGAGATAGTGAATGGAAAAAGGAGGATATAAACAGACAAACAGACAGATATATACACCACTCTTCCAAATATGGCTGCAATAATCTCTGTCTCATGACTGAATCAATGTTTTCTGTACGGTTTCATAAACAAGTGAACATCAACTCGTTATAAGCGACTTGACTAACAGAATAAAATCAAAACAGACATAGAAACATAAGAATGGGGGAAACTATAAATACCTGAACCATCAACTCAACAATAAACAAATGAAATAAAGAAAACGAAAAACAAAATCAAGTCGATGGAAAAAAAACAATCGTCAACCCTTCCTTTGCTGCGGGTTTATAAATGCCAGAACACACCTCAGATCATAAACGGCTGGATCAGCACATGGAAACAAAAGATTGTCGCGGCAGAGACCCGAAAAATCCTCTCTTACTACTGAACCAATGTTCCATAAACGTCTCGATAACACCAAGACGATAAACAACCGAATCGACAACGAAAAAACTCTTTGGTGCCAGAAATTCGAAAAACTCTCCCTTACTATTGAACCAATGATCCAGGCGCAGCTCTATAAACGCCTGAACAACACGTAAGGTCATAAACACCTGAATCGACAAAAAAAAAGATTATCGCGGTAGAAACTGGAAGAAAACCTTTTTGTTATAGTTAAACCACAAGTTGGCTGGACACGGCTCTTATAAACGCCTGAACATCCTTTAGTCATAAACAACTGCAAACACAGAAAATAAAAGGTTATGACGGCAGGAACTGGGAAACTCTCCCTCACTTCCAGTAACACCTGAGCACCACACTAAGGTTGTAAACAACAAGATCGACGTAATAAAACATAAAACAAAAGACTGTCGCGGCCATAAATTCGACAAAACTCTCCCTTACTACAGAAGCAATGATCCAGGTACGGCTCCATAAACGCCTGAAACACCACCTGGGCTATAAACAACTGGATGGACATCAAAATAACAAAAGACAGTCACCGCAGACACCAGAAAAAGAGTTGGATCCCCTTGGGTCGTATAGGTCCAGCCCAGGGTTATGTCGAGTTGACACTTTTATGGTGGATTCTGATACCTTCAAAATGATGCTCCATTCTGGTGAGTTATGGACGAGCTTATAGGATGACCATTTTGATGACGTATACCTGGGATACTGTGGCTGATATATGCTCTCTTGTTTTATTCATGCCAGCGTCTCTTAATTATGTCTTTTATGGAACTTTTTCACCAAAACTTGTGTTAATGAAGGTGTATTGGACGCATATCGATTCCAACGTTGCCTCTATTCCCCCTATCAGATTCAATACCATTCACTAGACAAACTTAAACAACACACACACACACACACACACCCCACCTATATCTATCTCACCTCCCTCCCTCCCTCCCTTACTTCTGGCTGTCGTAAAAAAAAACATAACCAGAAAATAAACAACAGTAGAATTTTTTTAACCCAACTTTGGTATGAAGACACAGCCCATCAATCCTACCCGCCCCTCGCCCCCCACCTCGCCCCCACTCGCCCACCAACCCCCCCTCCCCACTCGCCCCTCGCCCACCACCACCCCCACCACCCCCTCCCACCACAGGAGTTCGACAATTAGTATTTTGTGTCATTACCATCAAGAGTTATGGCTGGCCTTGGAGTTTGTAGTGGCGCCTCGATGAACGACACCGCCATTACTGTCAAACCTTACTCGATTTACGCTTTTTTGTTCCTATTTTCTTAACAGATAAAAGAAAAGAGTAACGTAGGAAGAGAAGAGTTTTACTGGTAGAGCACCTCACCTCCCTCACCTCCCTCACCTCTCACCTCCCTCACCTCTACCTTAGTGAGGGAGGTGAGGGGATGTGTCGTGCTGGGTGAGGGTGTGTAGAGGAAGGGGATGTGTGGGGCTGAGTGGGGTTGAGTGAGGGTATGTGAGGATGTGTAGGACTGTGTGGGGCTGTGTGGATGTGTGGGGGCTGAGTGAGGTTGTGTGGGGATGTGGCTGTGAGGAGTGTGTGGGGCTGTGTGGATGTGTGGGGCTGGTGGGGTTGGTGAGGCATGTGGGGCTGTTTGGGACTGTGTGGGGCTGTGTGGATGTGTGGGGGCTGGAGTGGGCTGGGTGGGGGTATGTGAGGCTGTTTAGGACTGTGTGGGGCTGTGTGTGGATGTGTGGGGGCTGAGTGGGGTTGGTGGTGTGTGGGGCTGTGTGGGACTGTGTGGGGCTGTGTGGATGTGTGGGGGCTGAGGTGGGGTTGGTGAGGTGAGTGGGGGCTGTGTGGGACTGTGTGTGGATGTGTGGGGCTGGTGGGGTTGGTGTGAGGGGTATGTGGGGCTGTATAGGACTGTGGGGCTGTCTGGATGTGGGGGCTGAGTGGGGTTGAGTGAGGGTATGTGAGGCTGTGTAGGACTGTGTGGGGCTGTGTGGATGTGTGGGGGCTGAGTGAGGTTGTGTGGGGATGTGTCAGGCTGTGTGAAGCTATGAGGCTATATGAGGCTATGAGGCTATATGAGGCTATGAGGCTGTATGAGTCTATATGAGGCAGGAACAACACCGAGACAGACACCTCAACACACCACTAGTCCAGGGAGTAAATTTACATACAACAAGAAGCGGTTTTATTTTCCGACACCCTATTTGGACTCCTATTCAACCTAACCTTACCTAAACCTAACCTAACCTAACCAATCCTAACCCAATATAACCTAATTTAACTCAACCTAACCGAACTTAACATAAACCTAACCAATCCTAACCCAATATAACCTAATTTAACTCAACCTAACCTAACCCAACCTAGCCTAACCCAACCCAACATAACTTAACCTAACCTAATCTAACCAAAACATTGACATTATTCAGTAACATTCATCAAATATCGTTTAACATTACATTAACATTCATTTTTATTCACTAATACCAGTAATCTATATACCTTACCTGGCCTGACTTGACCTGACTTGACCTGATGTGACCTGACTTGACCTGATGTGACCTGACTTCCCTAAACATTACCATACATCACCTACGCCTCCCGTATCCTAGCCCGACCTGACCTAACCTCCCCTAAACATCACTAAACGTCACCTTTGCCTAATTTGACCCTGACCTGACCTGACCTCCCGTAAACCTTCACTGGACATTCCCACACATTAACACACCTCAACATTGCAACATTACCATAAATACCGAGAGACGCCATTTGTAATCTCTCGTGTTACCATCCATTTTCATCCCTTTCTCCCTCTTCATTTTCCTCCTCCTCCTCCTCCTCCCCTTTTCTTCCTTTTTTCCTTCTCCTTCTCCTTATCAAATTCGTGTCTTCTTTTACTCTTCTTCCTCATCCTCCTCTTCTTCTTCATTCCTTCCTTTTCTTTTTTCCTATTCCTCCTCTCCTTCTCTTCCCCCTCCTTCTTCCCCCCCTCTTCCTTTCCTCCTCATCTACTAAAGTCGAGAATCCGCTCATAACAACAAGACAATCCCACCCATAGCCGCATTGTGGGATACCATCTTCTTGCCCCTTACAACCATATATATATAATCCCTCAATGGTTGAATGACACAGGTAGAATGGGGGGATATTAGACCTTATGGAGGGTATGGAAGGAGGGAAGGAGGGGGAGAGAAAGAATAGGGTGAGAGAAGGTAGGGAAGAAAGGAGGGAGGGAAGGAGGTAAGGAGAGAAGAATAAGGAAAGAGAAGGAAGGGTTGACACTAAGTTATAGCACTGTCTTACCCTCCGACGACACCAAGGGATAACACTATCTTACTCCCATCGACCCCTAAAACACATTAAGTCGCCATTACCATTATGTACATACGGAAATTCAGACCCCATAAGCGAATGGACGGGAGAGTAGGTTTAGAAATAGCATTATCTTGCCTCCATAGACTCACAAAGACCAATACAGTCGAAATTATGAATACAAAACATAGGGAATTTAGTCCTTATCTACATACTGTATGTGTGGAAGGATACCATTGTCTTGCCAACTATCGACTATAAACTGTACCTATAGTCATGATAATTACTGCTATCTAAGAGGAAACTGGTCTCTATAGGCACTCCAGGATAGCACTGTGTTGCCCCCCTCTCCCACCCAGTGCGGCCTGAAGGCATAAGCACGTGACGAGACGACCTGAGTGTTGATTTAAATTGTTGTTGTGATTAATTAAGGTGACGGCTGTACGTGTGCTCTCTCTCTCTCTCTCTTCACCCTCGTAAATATGTCGTAAAAAGAACAATGAAACAGCTAATTTCAAACTTCGAACATGGAATGAAAGAGTCACAAAAGAGAGATAATGAACAAAGAGAGAGAGAGGGGAGAGAGAGAGAGAGAGAGAGAGGGAAGAGAGAGAGAGAGAGAGAGAGAGGGAGAGAGAGAGAGAGAGAAAGAGAGAGGGAGACAAAATGAAAGAGAATGAGACACTGTATGTATGTATGTATGTATGTATGTATGTATGTATGTATGTATGTATGTATGTATTGTATGTATGTATGTATGTAATAACCCTGTATATTCCCCTGAACACACAAACAAACACACAAACAAACACATCCAATTATAATATTAATCAAACTTTTAGATTAATGACACAAACCTGACACATTAAACTGACACATTAACCTGACTCACACACACACACCTGACACACATAACACATAATCCTGACATACACATATGACACACATATGACACACACACACACACACACACACACCTGACACACATAACACATAATCCTGACATACACATATGACACACATATGACACACACACACACACACAC